TCATAAATGAAGAAGACAAGTATGAACAGTAAAAGTCCTCAGCAATGTGTGACGTAGAGTGAAGGTGAGGAGAGGTGGGCAAGCTGCTGGGAATGGTTGTGCAGGTTGTGCACTGCAAAAACTCTGGGAGGTGTCATTTACATCGTAGTCCAGGGGGACAGATGAGCTTGGAGAAGGCTCCTGTAGCATCTAGACCAGGAGCCCCTGAGCTAAGCCAGTAGCACTAAAGAGGATGCAGAGGAGGGACAGAAGTGAGAGAGTGACAGGAGGGAGAGCTGCTGGGGGTTAGTGGGACCCTGCTGGTGCAGGATAGGAGTGTCATGGAATAGGTTTCTGGGTGGATGATAATGTGATTCATTTCGAGCCAGGCAAGAAGACAGGCCACAGCCTAAGTGCCATGAATGGCAAGAAAGGTATTGACCTCTTTGACTAAAAAACATGGCAGTGTTAGAGGCGGTAACAGAGAAGCATGGTCGAGGCAAGAGACCTGGGATTTTAACCCAAAGACATGGAATAAAGCAGAAGCAGCCTCAGGCTGGGCAGCGGGAGTCTCCCAACCCTATTAATTACAGGTGTGTGATAAAACCCTTTCTGTAATCTCTCATGGGAGGTTCAAAGGATGAGCGCTCTTTGAGGTGAAGACACCACATTTTAAAGAAGAGTCATGCTTTTCACACAATGATCGATAAGAACAAGAATCTCTTAGATGTGGGCAGGAGGGGCTTTCGGGTTCTGGCCTTCTTACTTTCCTGATGCCCGTCTAAGCTGGGTATCCCCATTCAAGAAGCGGTGGGGAGAAGCTGAACCTCACAGAAGTGCTTTCAGTATTACCGCAATGCCGGGAAGTCAGAATTCATTTTCACATAGACTATAATTTGAAGCAATAGGTCACATTTAAATAAGGGAGTTTCGAGAAATAACCCAGCAGCTAGAGGGTTTAGCTACCAAGGCAAAGGCAAAACTTTAATGCCTCCTGTATGTTTGACAGAAAAGGAAAATGCAGTTAGAATTAGGAAACCATATAATTGGGATGTATAAATAGACTGACAGAGTTTAGAAAATCAAGAAACTAAGAGCAGTCTTAGCCGGATGCCAGATCTAAGCTTAGAGTAAAATTAGAGTGTGAAAACCGTTTGACAACTCATGAGTGTGAGCTCCACTCCTCCCAGTAACCAAAGAAGGAAAGCATCTAGAAATTGGTTTAACCACGCAGAAAGTTCCATCTATGAAATACACACGCAGCACTTGCTCAAGTTCTGTATGTATTTTATACTGACCTCTGCAGTCACTTCTGACCCAAGGCTGTGCAAATGTTTTAACGTGACTGGTTTCCACGAACCCCCAGTTTTGATGTGAAACCGCAGTCCTGGTCAGTGGACAGCCACGGCACGTGTCGAATGACTCCCCGCAGACTTTGTTTCGTTAAAAAAAAAATTCTGCCTCACTGCTAATGTTCAGATCTGAGATGAAGAAGGAGGTAATTTTATCTTTCATCCTGTCGTGTGCTCCAAATCCTAGAGCGTACACAGCGCAATGGCCCTGGAAGGAGCCTTAGGGCTAATGGCGTCAGCCTCTCGGTGTGCAGGTGACAGCGTGAGGCGGGCACAGTGTGAGAGCTCTGAGGGTCGGGCTCTAGAGCCATTTAAGCTCTCCTTAGATGGGTGAGCACCGGCTGGTCCGCGTTGCACAGAATCATTTCATGGGGGGGCTCTGTCCAGATTCGGGAAGGGCTGTAATGAGCTCCTTGGTCATCCCGGCTCTGAGTGTTTGTGCTCTCGGAACATCATCCAGCAAACTGACCACAGCCCGGCCCCAAGGAGCTGTGTGTTTGCTGCCCTGAGCCTGGTGGGGGCGGCTCGCGTTGGGGGTGTGTGGTGACAACTCACCTGCTTTGTGACGGCTGGTCCACGCTGCGGGCATTGGGGGACTCACGTGGGTGGACACCTCATACCTCCTTCGTTCCACCAGGCTGGTCTCAACTATCCCTTGGTAGCCGGTTCATCCAAACCACGGGTTCCCCGTGCTCAGGGAACCAGAGTCGGCCTGGCCGTGATGTTTCCCAAGCCAAAGGCAGCCCTTTCTCGCCCCCTGTGCACGGCTGGAGAACATCTGCCTCTGAAACCTCAGGGGCCAACCGGTCTCCCTGCACCGCGGGATTTCCACGAAGCCAGACGGGCTGGTCTGTCCCCAGTGTCCTTTAACCTAAGGACACCACTTCTACTTCGGGCTCTTGTGCGATTCTGCGGACACACAGGGCCTGTGGTGAGACTTGTTAGCGGAGGGGACTGAAGTTTTGTAACCCAGCTTCGAGGTCCCCCGTGAACACATGCCCCACGCTGTCTGTGCAGGTGCCTGACCTGACGCAGGCTTTGAGGGACCCTGGCTGGTCGTACATGAAGCAGAGGGAAAAACATTTGGGCATCACCGGGACGTGGCAAGAATGACTTAAAAATGACACGGTGACCGAGCGGCCCACCTCCCCGTGGTCTGCTTCACCCAGGCTGCTGACAGCTCCAGCCTCCCCTCGTGGGAGGAAAGTCAACTCAGAACGTCCCCTCTCCACTGTTTCCCCCTTTCGAGATAAGACAGTAAGACACACACACCCCTTTTCTGACCTCTGAGTGGAGTTGGGGTTATTTGGATTACATAATAAGATCTCACTTTGAACATTATTAGCCCAGTGAATTTGAGACCTTAAAAGGTCTTTTCAAGGGCAGGCGACAGGGCCTTTTGGTACATTTGTCTCTGGATTTCTTCTACATCCTGTTTTATGTGTGGTTTGATCAGCTGATGGATCATGTGATGTTTTGCTCCTTCAAATGACAGAAATAGAGACTCAGAATAACCACACGGACAAGCCTCTCAAATGTTTACCAAACACGTTGCTCAAAAACATGCTTTTCTACGGTTCACACGCTTTTTATGAAAGAGCCGCGGGAGGGTGGCCGCAGGGAGCCATGGGTATCCCAGAACTGGCCGCACGTGGACCGCAGAGGTCTCCGGGCTACAAGGGGCCGTGTCTGCCGAAGCCCCGTCCGCCGACAAGAGGGGCCAGACTTCGAACACAAAAAGCCCCCTTTGCTGGGCTGTGCCTCGCTTTGTTTGGAAACTTCAATTCCTATTTTTAGGGGTCAGCTCACCTGCAAAATGAGAGGCCAGAAGTCACGGCTCCTTAGAATGCAACAGCCCATGCTGTCCTGGGCATGGTTGTGCTTAGAGATTCATGGAAGTAGAAAGATTTTTAAATACAAGAACATATTTTTCAAGGTCATATCATTGAATAACAAGACTGTGAATACTTTTTCTCTTGCAACACAGCCTCTTGGGCTCTCCCACTTCAGTCTGAATTAAAGAAAGAGACTGGTCAAGAGAACTACTAAGTCTTCAAACCGTTTTGTTTCTAGACACTAAGAGTATTAAAAAAAAAAAAGTTACTTTCCTCTTCCCCCGTCTCCTCCCATAAGAAAAAAGCCCAAATGGGGAGCAATTATGGTAGGGAGCTGTTGAGTTTTTTTTCACTTGTTACTTGAAGCTATCTTTGAAGAACTTTGGTCACACTTGGGAAATGTGATGACTATCCCAGCCCGAGAGAGGTCCAGAAAAGGCTGCCCGTGAGGACTGTAGAGCTGGACCCTGGCTGGGAAGTGCCTTGGGGTTTGGAGAACTTTCAACTGGATGGAGCTTGACTCTGGTGGAGCCCCTCCCTGGCTTCCCTCCTCGTGGGCCCTGCCCTCTGCACCTCCCGAAGTTATTTATTGGTAGGACGCAAAGAATGAAAAAGTGTGTTTGCTACCATACCAAAGCTTTCCTTGGCCCCACCTGATATATCCTAAACACTGAAAGCTATTCTTTCTGAGGGTATCAGCCATTCATGGACATCTCCAAAGCCAAGCCACATGCTCAGGCCGAGCCCATGAAACAAACGCAGAACAAGAAGACCTTTGGGAGAAGGCGGACCCAACACAGGCAGCAAGGGGCCATGCCTGGCTTCCACCCCGTTTTGTAAACCAATGGCCTCCCATGCCCAGATGAAAGAATCCAGTCAGGCGAGAGGTTCTGGCCAGTAGGCAAACCTCTCAAGAGGCCCCTGAGCCTCAGGCCAATAGGTGCAGCCCTATCATGACTTTCCTGCAGCGAGTCTCGCCTGGTTCTTTCCGCTCACTTCTCGGGCATCTGATGCCCTGTGCCAGCAAGCTCTGAGTGGAAGAGAGCGCACGACACCTTCATGCGTAGAATGACCTGGCTTAGACCCTCAGTAAAAGCAAGGAGGCCTCTGTCCTGGGAAAACCTTCAGTATAGAAAGACTGCTTTGAACTGCCCCAACGCACTTCGCAGCGTTTGAAAATGGCTTTGTGCCCCTGTCGTTTCAGGTTATATTTGTCTACAAGGATCACCCAACATGGAGAAAGTCACGCTTGGTCTTTTCACGTCCTTGACCTGTGACTTTCCCAGGCACCACGCCCTTCTAATTATACCTGTCCGCTAAGCGACTGGCAAGAGAAAAGAAACCTGTGTTGGGGAAATCTTGTTTTTTTTGGCCAGCAAAGTCAAAGGTGTGGCCCTCCTTACTCTGAAAAGTGGGATGGAGCAGTGTCGTGTCCCCCTCCCCCTTCCGACCGCCCTTCCCATCTGAGGGTGCCAACACCGTGTCCTGCTTCAGAAGCTAAGGTGTGCTAACGTGTGTGTGGTAGGCCATGAATGAAGTTAGCCCACGTGGAGACTGTGTGAGGGACGGCGTACTTCAAGGCGGGAGGTATTGGACACGTCCCGCACGATGTCTGTCGTTATGGTCTGGGTGTGGGGTAGCTTCCCGTGTTCTCTGAGACAGTGGCCACATATTTATGGCCCGTCATCACCGACGGTGCCTCTGAGGTTCTAGCGACACCTTCTAGTTGTGTAATGAAGGCTCTCTAGCTGAGCTTTCCCTGACTTGGGAAGAGATGGCTTTTTCAGTTTGATCTTCACGCTCTAGCCCCACAAGCATGAGATAGTCACACATGTTAAAAAATACTGCTGTTTAATTTTCTAGTCATGTACTTTTAAAAAGCTGATACAATTAGACGTTTTCTTCCCCATCTTCTCAGATCTGCCCCTGAAACCAGCCGAGAGCTACCCATCTTAATTCCCAGCACTCATCTATATGGAGGAAAAGTCTCTCAGAGGAAGCACATGAAAATCTGTCCCCATGGTGGACACACCCAAGGTCACTTGATGTCCGGAAATGTGAATGCAGCCCTGTGATGTTCATGGCTGACTTTATGCCCTTACATTCTTTTTTTTTTTTTTAAACGAGGAACAATATGATTACACAGCACTGAAAACAATAAACACGAAAGGCTTGCCTGTTTCTTCCTTTTTTTCTTTTTTGCCCCTTCCAGTGTATATTTCCATTCCCACTGTTGTCTATGCCAGCTGACCTATTTATACCCCTGCCACCCATAATGAAAAATAGTTCTCTCATTTATTGAGCCTTACATTTATATACAAATGACAGACTCTGTAAAACTGCTGTAAATAAAATACAATGTTCATCGATACAATACGTTTCAACTGCAGGTCTGTGGAGCACACAAGCAATCACCGTATTGTATTAGAGACATTTTATTGAAAATGCGAAAATAGGAAATGTATTATAGCCTAAAATAAATTACATAACATATACAGTATATATTTATATCTTTAAAATATTTTTGTGTTTAGGTTCTTTCCGTCTAGGAATTTTGACTAAATCAAGAATTTAGTGAACTGTGTCCATAATTTTTTAAAGAAAAAACCCGCTTTCCAAAACTTAGAAAAATATACTGCACTAAATGGATCTCAAATGTGTCATTTCAGGGAATATCACATAGTGACTTTGCTATCGCTTAGAAAATGTCTTGCTTTATCGTGTGGCGTGAAATTACCTGTCCCGCGTGGTTATGACTAAGAGCAGCGGAACCAGGTAATGAATCTACTTCGAAAGTTACGATACAGCAACCTGGCATTAGAATGCTAGATTATGACTTAAAGCTTCCGTTCACTTTTTTAAAAACTAAGAATGTGAAGTTAGAACGCTCCGTTTCACTTGCTCTAGCGCCATCTTCAGGAAAGGTGAGTGAAAAACAAGCCTTCGGGGACAGTCATGCCTGAGGATGCGGACATTTGGAGATGCGCTGTCCTGACAACTTAAAAAAAAATAGCTCATGTATGTACACGGCGGGGCCTGAAAGGTGGGAGCTCGCTCAAACCTAGGAAAATGCCGGTGAGATGCTCTCGTTCAGTCCGCTACGCCCCTGGCGGCCCGAACCTTCCCACGGGAGGGCAGGCCTGGCCGTCTGTCCGGCCGTGCAGCGCGTTCACAAAGGCACCGGTCAGTGTGAACGGCCAGGCCGGCCGCCGCCCGTCGCGGACGCTCTGCCTGGGGGCGGGGGCCGTTGGTGGCCGCAGGCCGTGCGGGGTGGAAGGCCTCCGGGGCCGCGTCTCTCCGCGCAGCTGTGTTCCCGGGAAGCCAGCCAGAGGGAGCCGAGCTGTAGCGTGTGGATTGGGAAGAGAGATGCGGAGGGACAGGGTCCAGGCCGGCCCTGGGCGGGGGTGGCCGAGGGCCCGCTGGCACAGCCGCAGTCCTTTGGTTCCGAGTGGAGATTGTCCGAGGGAGGAGGAGGAGACAGGCTGTTCTAGAGGCAGCTGCGCCTTCGGGATTTCGGGGGAAGCGGGGCGTGAACTCATCGTTCTATTCGTGTGCAGGAGGTGACGGCAGAGACCGCAGTTCGGGTCCCCGCAGCCGAGTGGGCGCACCCAGTATGCCGCAGAGTCTCCGCGAGACCTTCACGGCGAGGCCTCTTCCCTGACCCAAACCCAAACCCAAACCCAAACCCCCAGCAGAAGAAAGCAAGCACGACGGGAGAGGAGATGTCGCTGCGCTGCCCCCTCGGCTGCCCTGCTGTCCCCGCGTCCGCTCGCTCCTTAGTCGTTCTCCTCTCGCATTTCCACCACGTCGGTCCCCTCCTCTGCCGGTGGTATGTCTGTCATGGCCGAGTCCTCCCCCTCGGCCGCTGTCTCGTTCTCCATCTTCTTTTTCTAAACCCAAGAAGACTCATGAGTGTGGGGCTGGGACAGGGACGCGTCACCGCAGAGCCACGAGCGGGCAGCGGCTGCCCCGCTGCAGACCTGGGTCCCGTTTCTGGTTGGGGTGATGACCCCGAGGCTGCATCTGATCGGCATATTCCTCTCTGTCTGGTTACTCGGGGGGCCCGGCGCTGTGCTGGACGCTTTGGGGGATCCTGGCTGCCTCCCCCACGCCCAGAGAGCGCAGGCAGCTGATGGGGACCTGCCTCTGCACCCCCGCCCATGGTGGCCGCACCTGCCCAGCCATCTCACCCAGCCACATGCAGACTGTGCCCCTGGGGATGAGCTTGGGCCTCTCCCCTCCAGGCCACCCCAGGTCCGCGTGTCTCTCCCACTCTGCTGGCTGGCTGTCCCAATTCCTGGTGACTGCACTGCCATTTTGCCTGCCTTGCAGTAAATACCTCTGTGCCCTGACCTCTTCTCCTTGGGGATCAGGTTCTCCAGCGCCGCCCCCCAACCCAACCTGCCATTCTTGGCTCACTGGAGACCCTGTCATTATCGACACCCTTGTATCACTGACAGGCCAGCTGCAAGGACACCGTTCTCCACCTCTTGCCACTGCCCATCCCCCCTTCCAGGCCCCTGTCCCTACAACCCATGGGCCTTCTTGTCTCCTCCCCTTCTCATCAGCTTAAATGAGATGCTCAACAGTTATAATCACTTCTGTGCCCTGTGCCTCTTTCGTTTCATCTCATTTGTAGGTAAAACCTGATATGGGTTGGGTCCAAATCTCTGCTAAGTTCAGCCCTCGCCACCCAGCTCCCGTGGCTGGGGTATCGCACTGGGGAGCCCCGGAGATCTGTCCTTGGCCCCTTCCCTTCCCTCCCCCAGCCACTCCCTGGCTAATCCTCTCCCTCCTGCTCCCTAAGCAGTCATAACCGTAGGACTATATCCCCAACAGCTAGGTAGCCCTGCAGGATAAACGAATTACGTGCCAGAGTATGTAGTGTGTGTGTGTGTGTGTGTGTGTGTGCGCGCGCGCGCGTGCTCGCGCTCGGGTGCGTGGTGAGGAGCTGAGAAGACTTCCTGAAGGGCCAGGAGATCTGGGGTTGAAGAGGGGACGGGATGTGCCGGGGCAGAATCGGGGAGGGCATCCCGACCAGCCAACATTTGCTAGACCAGTCGTCCCTCTGCAATCAAGTCCGAGTTTATAAGGACTTAGAGGACGGATAGTTTCAGCATTTTCTCACATGGTCAAAGCTTTACTTAGTTTCTACAATTTGTAGTTCTCCTGAGGAAACACTAGGATGCAGGACTGTATCCATTCTCCACCATCTCTCCTGAGCAGTTGGGCTGCCTTTTGAGACAAGGTGGGTGTCAGGAAAAAATCCACATAATGGTTGTAAGCAATAACCCACAAATAGCACACTAAGGTGTCCCCTTGCTATTGAACCTGACCTAGGACTGAGCAACTTCTGGCCACGAGGGTTCCTCACACGCAGGAGGGGCCCTGAGTTCTGGTGAGCAGCGTGGGTCCAGCTGAGGTGGGCTGTGTGTCTGTGACTGTGGGCTCCCCCCCTCGCCCCCCCGCTCCACTGCGGCTGCCTCCTGCCATGGGCCCTCAGGGAGCCACTCAGGGGTCCCTGCACCTGGGGAGGCTCCACGCCAGCACAGGTGTGCAGGTCTGGGACAGGCTCACCTGTTTCCGATAGACGTAGCACGCGGCTATGGCGACCATGGTGGATTCTCCCACGAACCCTGCCAGGAGGGAGCCCACACCCAGAGTGGCTCCGTGTACCCTGGGGATGAGAACACAAAGGCCATTGATCTGTTAAAGCCGTGCCAAGGCACAGGTAGAGCGGAAGCCCAGGAAAGGTGCAGACAAGAGAGGAACCAATTGCCCCCGAGCTCTGCGGGTAAGGGCTGCACCTGATACACGCTCCCCCCCACCCCCCGCATGGGGAGGGGACCTGGAGCTCCAAGGTGAGCTATCCCCCACTTCCCGTCCAGGTCTTGGCCCCACACTGCTGGCTGGGCCGTGGGCCATGTCCCCCTCACTCGTGAGCCCACAGCCCTTCCTGCCCTCATCTCTGTGCAGAGACGGGAGCTCTGAGGGTGGGGGTCATGATGTCCTTCCTCCTTTGTGTTTCCCCTTCCCGCGCCTGCCGCCCGTAGCAGGTGCTCAGTGAATAGGGTGTATGGGCTTGACCTCGAAAGGATGCTTCTAGAATGTTGCTGAGCTACCCTCCACCTACTGCCTGGGCAGAGAAAAGGTGTCACACTGCATTTCTAATTCTGGGTGTGCCTGGGGATGGGACATGAAGGTCAGAAGAGGCAGAAGGACCCTCAGCCCCGGGCCCCTCCTCCCACCCCGCCCCGAGACATACCCCAGGTAGGGCAGGACCACGAGGCTGGTGATGAGGACAATGATCCGAAGCACGGAGCTGGGGGCCAGCACGAAGGTCTTCTTCAGAGTCATCAGCCACCCGGTGAGATGCGCCCTCACAGTGACTGAGGGGACAGTAGAGGTCTGGTCAGCGACGCCCTGCTTCTCCTAGTCCTCAAGCTCTCCCCCATGCCTCGCCAGCCCACCCGAGCTCGTGGGGTGGCTGCGTGCAGACCCAGGCCTTGCTGCTGCAGCCCTGGGCTGGCCACCGCATCTTCCAGCTCCTGACCCTGCTCCCGGGCCTGTGACAGCCCTGTCCCTTCTGGGCTCCCACCTCACTGCAGCCCTTTGCCTCCAGACAGAGGGTTGCCGGCAGCTGCCTTTCTCCACTGTGACTGCCGTCCTTCTTCCGCGGGACCCGGCCTGGCCCTGGGACAGTCCTGCCCACCCTGCCCCTGCCGCAGCCCCCATCCTGCCCCAGCCTGGCTTCAAGCTCTGATCTCTCCTCCTCAGCAGAGAAAACACAGAGAAAAGCCACAATTTGCCATAGGTCCAGTTGGACTGTGGGTGAGGAGGGAAGCAGGACCAGAAGGCCTGTCTTCCTGGGGGTGGGGGGACATGGAGACTAGAGTGGGGAGAGGGAACGACGGGGCTTCCCTAGTTCCTTCCCAGCCACCCCGGACCGCTGGCACCCTGCTCATCTCCTCTCCTTCCCTAATGGCCACCCCGCCTCCATCACTACTCACAAGGGCCTCGCCCTGTATTCCCCTACAGGCTGCCTGTCCATCCCGGGAAGTGTGGGGGCAGAACGGGATGCCCGGTTGGGGCATGGACGAGGGCTCTGGGCGCAGACACGCCTGTCAGGAGGAAGTGCCTGATGTTCAGACCTGATGGGCAACCGCAAGGGGCTGTTGGAAGCTATGGCTTAGTCCTCCCAGGGTAGCAAAGCCAGGCAGAGTCCTGGGGTAAAAATGCATGCCCAGGGTACATTTGGAGGAAGACATTCTTGTCTTCCTCATCTCCGGGGGGCCCTGCCCGCCCAGGGTGGAAGCCTTGTGTTTATGAGGCACAGACACACACTTGGGCTTGGGCGAGGCAGAGGGTGGGGCACACACTGGAAGGCTCCGCCACTTGGCCTGAACCCTGCAGGCTGCAAAGACAGGTGGGGTGTGATGGCTGGCCTGGCGCCCTCCATGTGACAGAGACAGAAGGGAGTCCAGGGACTAAAAACCAGTCCAGTCCCAGCAGGATTTGTCTGGGACTCCCACCCCGCAACCAACTGAATCCGGGAAAGGAGCAGCACATGCCTTCATCGCCAGCAGGGGGCAGCCTTGCTCCAGGTGGGGTCACCCTCCACAGTGTGGCTTGCCAGCCCGGTGTCCCCTTGACAAAGACCAGACACCACCCCGTGGCCACGATCTTCCACACCTCCGTTTCTTCCACAGCTGGGAAGGTGACACCTGAGAGACCAGCCTCCAGAAAGGCTCAGTATCCAAGAGCAGGGGAGGGATGGGCTCTGATCCAATGCAGGGATGGCACCAGTGGCCCTGGCCTCCTCTAGCTCTGCAGCCCATTTCTTTCTTCCTTCCTTCCTTCCTTCCTTCCTTCCTTCCTTCCTTCCTTCCTTCCTTCCTTTCTTTAAGATTTTATCTGTGGCCCATTTCTTAACTGTGGCTTTGTCCCTTCTGCCTTCTCAGCTGAATGATTTAGTGGATTATTTGGGCATTAATTTTTTTTTTAAGATTTTATTTTTAAGTCATCTCTACATCCACTATGGGACTCGAACTCACAACCTTGAGATCAAGAGTGGCAAGTTCTGTCTGAGCCAGCCAGGCACCCCTGGGCAATACGTTTTTGGAATAAGTAATGACATGCACTTGGCATAGAACTGAAAAGGGAGGGAATGCAATACAGAGATCTTTCTCCCAGGCCTGACTCCCCAGCCCCTGGTCCTGCTTTCCAGAGGCAATCACGGGTACCAGTTTGGTGAACTGCTTCCAGGAACAGTAAGTGGACACCCAAGCACTTACCATGAACTTGACACACACGGACAAGCATGCGTGGTATGATTGTTACAGAAAAAGCAGCATGCTAATCAACGATTCTGCAGCCTGCTTTTCTCATTTAATAAAGAACAGCCTCACCCCCGTATTGTAAACCACCTCCTACAGAATCAGCTTGGGAATTTTCAGCCTGGCTTATTTTTGACTATGGACATTTTTCTCTCTGGCCATATGCCGTCTGGCCTCAGCCCTGCCCCCAGAGCCTTAAGTCCAGCAGTGTTTTTCTGTCTTTGCATATCTGCAGGTTTTAGCAGCCTTTCTGCCTTTTTGTTTATGTTATCTTTTAAATAGCATATTATAAAACTGACTTTGGAGCATACAGATCTAAGAATTTTAACACACGCACAGATCTGTGTAGCCATCGCCACGACCAGGGCACGGAACAGTTCCACGGCCCCCCTTAAACTCACGCTGTCCCTTTGGGTGTGCTTTCTTTTTACCACGTCTGCGACCTTGTCCTTGAAGGAACAAATCATGTCTGTGCGATGTGTTTCTTGACCTTGCAGCCCACTGGATGACATGTTTGCCCCTTTCCGATCCACTGTGACATTTTACCGTGTCGGTTTGGGACATCACCGCAAACATTTCTGAAGAAAGAAGACCGCATCGGGCACGCGGTGAGACAGGAATTTTCCTTTCATTCTGTCTTTACCTGGAACCGGGAAGAAGGAGAAGATGCGCAGGGGAATGACGCAGAGCTCTGCAAAGGCGAAGTCCACGCCGATGATGTCGATCAGAATTTTCTCAGAAACGTTGGGCGTCCAGAACATCACGAAACAGAGCTGGGGGCAGAAAGGACAGGCAGCGAGGTCATTAGTAGGAGCGTACACGAGTGAACCCACATCAAAGCCGGTGTCTCGTGACCCCGCGGAGTTGGAAGGAGGGCAGGGGGGCCAGCCCATCAGTCCTCCAACTGCCGCCCTCCGGCCATGTTCTCACCTTCGACACAGCCCCATTTGGCACAGGTGCCCCAAAGGGACCCCCGGAGGGACCCCTGCGGCGGGTGGGTGGCGGGCTAGTGAGGGAGACCAGCTGCTCTCACGGAAGGCGTAACTAGATTGCTAAGCGGCCCGGTGAGCCCAGGGTGAGTGTGCTGAGTCATGGGATTTTTACGCTTTCCCCCAAGACTGGGAAGTGACCCGAAAGCATCTGGCATCTACATCTGCACGCGCAGGGCGACCCCGAACCAGAGCACCTAATGGAAAAGGAAACAGTGAGACTAACACTGATGATGGGTTTGGGATCTTTTCAAGGTCTGGTTTAGAGAATGAGAGGCAACAGCCACAGAATGTGCACCTTTGGAGAGCAGGTGGACAAGGAGGGCACGGATTTCACAGAACCCCTCCCCAACAAAATGGCAGGGGGTAGGGGTGGGGACTGAGTTGTCTCCAGCCCTTCTTCGCCTCACCCTGTCAGGAAATGTGGCAACAGGCCCTTCTGGAAGTGGGGGTGAGGGCGGGGCCAATAGCAGGCCGGTGGAAAGTCTAGTTAGTGAGCAGCTTGGGCACAGTTGCGTCTGCACAGCTGGTGAGTGTGGCCCTGACCTTGGGAGGGCCCTGGAATGTCATCTCTGCGGTGGAGGACAGTTGCTGCCCAGAAACGGGGAATTAAGGGAAGGATGATGTCAAAGGTCCTGTCTTTTTCCTCTGATCAGCTCCCGGAACACAGGAAACCAGCTGCATCCCTCCCGGGGAGAAGACCCAGGATTCTGGAGGCTGGAAGATCCTGGTGAGGCGGTAGCCCCTCCTGTGCCGGACTGGCCACCACGAGGCCCACACGGGGGATCGGCGACCTCCACACGTGCATGGCTGCGGGTTGGCTTCTGATGCCCCCAACAGTGAGGAGACAAGCAGGGATCACCAGGCTTCACGGAAGGTCTCTAAGCTGAAGAGGCTCAAACGGGGGAAAAAAATTTGGGAGAAAACAGAGAGAAAGCAGAGAGACAGATTGACACACACACGCCCGCGTGCACACATACACACACACACACACACACACACACACACAGAGGGAGGGCGGGAGAGAGAGGAAACTCTCCCTCACTGATATTCTCAGAGTGATAGAAGATCCTGCACCCGTGAAATGAGGCCCAAATGGAAATGTTATTTTAAAAAGACATTTAAAGAGCAAGAAAGTACTTTTGAAAATTAGAAAGATTAAATCAGAAATAAAATTCACAAAATGACAGTAAGATAAATGTTGAAAAAATGTTGTGTGGGAAGGAAATTCTTTGAGGCCTTGAACATGTGAAGATGTCTTTCTTCCAACACACTTGATTGATTGGTTTCTTCAACTTTTTGAAGAAATCTACAACAAAGATGGAGCAGGACAAAGATACGGGAAGAACAGCAGAATGGGCTTGAAATATATAAATCAAAGAACCATCGCAGAGGCCCAACATTCAAATCATACGAGTTCCAGAAAGAACAGTGAAAATCCGAGAGCTGAACCGCACAACTCTGAAGACCTTCGTGGGGTCCATCAGTGGACACAGCATCATGGATGAAGGAAGACCCCCCAGTAGAGCACACGCAATGCTGGAGGCAGAGACAAGAAGATTCTAGGAGCTCCCAGGGGTAGACAGCTAGAAAGCTCACACCGAGTCAGAAGACGCGGAGCAGTAAGTTCGGAGGGAAAATGATTTCTAGCCTAGAACTCAGAATCAATCAAGGCCTCAAAGAATTTCCTTCCCACACAACATTTTTTCAAGAAGCCGCTGGGGGTATCCACTGCCAGAGCAAGGGAGGAGTCATGGATGAAGAAAAAGATACGGGATTGATCTCAAGAAAAAGGCCTGGGGAATCCCTGGGATGGGGTCAGGGAAGACCCCAGAAGGGTCGAGAACAGGCCCAGAGGTCAGCAGATTTGCACTGAAAATGGCTGGAAGAGGAAACCCAGTGAGGAAAATGATGAAGGTTCAGGAAAATTTTTTTTTTTTTAGAAAAGTGGGGAATCCGAGCTCGGCTGTCTAGAGTTTGCCACAGTTGGAACTCTTCCAAAGAGCTGGGGGGCGGTAAGGGGCTTTGGGTACAAAGTACAAGAAGGTGTGTGCAGGCTGGGGGAAAGGCTGTTGGTAACAATCCTCAGAGAAGTGACTTTTTAACCTTCATGTGTGTATAATCGACAATCCTGGAATTAAAACATGTAATAACAGAACTTTGGGAGAGAATGCTAACCACTTGCCAACTTCACCAAATATTTTCTCTCCCTTTTTTCAGGGGCAAGTGAGTCTTCTTTAAAATGAAAGTGAATAAGTTCAAACGAATCACAGTCATATAAAAACACAATGCTGAAATTTCAGAATAGCCTCTCCTTTAGTGTTTGGGTAAATTAACTTTCATGGAATTAGGCTGGTCTCATTACCTATGTTGTCCTGAAGTATTTTCTCAAATACCTTGGAAGATCTATTATAAATATGTTGTACCTTATAAATGTAATGGGCATTTTATTCTATTGGTGCATTCTTCAGCATCTGGAAAGAATATTCCATTGCTTTTCAAAAGTGACAGTTGTACAATCATTCAACCCTCCTGCCTAATGCCAATTCTCACACCCCGTTTTTGACACGAAGGGAAAAGTACTTCCTTACGTCCAGCAACCCAGAGCCCTGAGAATTTATTACCTAGTGTCCCAGACAGGTGGCCTTGTCATCTTTTCCCACCACAAAGCTTCCAGCCTGAAATGCTGAGATGCACGCCTACAGCTCGGGGAGGGGGCGGGTGGAGGGAGGGAGGTAATTTCATGCAATTATAACTTCAAAATGACACTGAGCACAGGACTGGGACACCATTCATTTCCCTGATGAAGAGACAGATCATCTGTCCTTCCAAATATTTTCCATTGCAGCAAAGATAAGTGAGCATCACCGCAAGTCTGGACTTGCTTTGTGCCTTAGTAGCTGTGGAGGGCAAGCCATCCTGGGTTTTCCTGGTTGGAGGGAGATACCTCGGGCATATTCTCCTAAAAAGGTAGGCTTCCAGGAGAATCGCTGGCATGCTGTATTTCTACTCTAGCCTGCAGTTTTCTGTGAAATAATGCTGCACGTTGCAATCTCTCTGTGTTTTGTAAGTCACCGTAAAGTCGCCACTAGGTTTCAACAAACCCAGGAAAAAGGCGGGTGTAACCACATGTCTGAGACGGTGGTACAAGGAAGCGTCTGCGGCCAAGGCAGGTAAACCCTCCCCCTCGCTTCTCCACGTGGATAATGTTTGTCTGGAAGATTTCACTGCCTTCGATGAGATTATCCGTAAACTGCTGAAGGAGGGAGTACAATCTGAGGACACAGCAACAGCGAGCGGGTCCCTGTCACCCAACACGTTTATACTCATCTCAGCCTGGACGGGGTCACCGTGCTGGTCCCTTGCAAACCAAACGGTGAGGTTTAGTGGGTCGCTAACAGATCCTCTGGGAGAGTGGCTTGATATTTCACTTCCAAAATTCCACGGTTTTGACTTGGACCCATGGAGCGACTCCATCTGGTCTCCATCCGTGCCAAGGACCCCTTAAAGGTCCCCATCAAGGCCACATGCCACCGAGGTGCCTCTCTGGAGCTTTCAGTCACATACACGAGAGCCTAGACTGGCTCTTCTAGAACAAGGAAGCTGGAAGCCATCAGTCTGGTCTGGGGCTTGAACAATCCCAGGTAACTATTCAAAGAGAAGGAAAACTGCCTATCTCAATGCTTCCTTTCTTTTCTCCCCCAAATTTCTTCTTCATTTTTTTTTTTTTAAGATCTTTTGTACATTCATTTGAGAGGGAGACAGAGGGAGCATAAGCAGGGGGAGAGGCAGAGGGAGACAGAGACTCTCCAGCGAGCCAGGAACCTGACATGGGGCTCGATCCCAGGACCTGGAGGTCATGACTTCAGCCAAAGGCAGATGCCCAACCATCTGAGCCACCCAAGGTGCCCTTCTCCCCCAAATTTCTAAATATGGTCCCTTTGCCTTTGCTGTGCTTCCAGCATGAAAACGCCCACTGCCTTCCAGCAAGCTCCTGAGAAAGTCACTATTCCCTGCATCACCCAGGGAGGAATACGTGCGACTTAGAAGTAGGCGTGGTATTGGTTAAAAGCGGCCATCAGTAATGATCTGCTTGTCATCTTCCCCTAAGAATAACAACCAGATCACCTCTGACCAGCCTGTTTCCGAAAACAAGAAGTTTCAGAAGTTAACCTAACAAAGAACATTTCAGGAAAAGTGTCATTCTAATGAGTTGCCCAGAGGTGGCTTCCCTGGGAACAAGCCCTCCCAGTTGACCATGACATGCCGTGTTCCTCAAATATTTGCAGAGCCTAATGACATTGACTTTTCCAAACCAGAACACAAACCTAATAAACTACGGACAATGAACAGAATTTGTTCTCCTTGGAGCAGGTGTGTGGTTGGCTTTTTTTCCCCCCTGCAGAGCTTGCTGTCAATATTATCCCATTAGGAAGTAGCCAGCAAAATGGAACAACCCACTCAGTGCCCAGGTCTGCGTTTTTCTATTTATTCTCCAATAAAAGGAACCAGAGCTTCTTAGAAAAGTGGCTTATTCGAAGATCGGGGCAGGAAATATACGAGATGATCTGCCTGGAGTAACGTGTCAAAGGACACAGGAGCTCCCGATAGCCGGAGCTGGAACAATTTGAACACTAAAATAATACAGTATTGAATTATGACCCACAGTATACAATAACCACCCATGGATCCAGCTGATTTAAACAAATAGGGACAAAGCTCCCACAGACTGCCACATGATTTATATTTTGGATGAGGCCTCAAGTGGGTGGCGCAGACCTCCC